ACCTACAACTACGAAACTTTGTACACGTGTTACCATGTCAGGACTTACAAAAAAGTCTCTTGGAGCGACGGTCTAAACCCAGAGGAAGTCGGCCATTTTAGATTGAAGTTCAGATTTTGATCCCATTTTTGGCGTTTATAAACCATTTCAGTAATTCGCCACTTGGGGTCAGTATTGCTCCACAAATGAAACAGCAGATAAACAGGATGAAGAACAATATCAGTTTTTCGCCAGTAGGTGTCAGTTTCCTCACCAATGACAGATCCACGGGCGATGGGCGTGAAAACTTTGTGAGAGCGTTGCCATGAAATTTCTAAAAGGATAGAAATGTCTCAGATAATTTTTGTTGAATTAAATCATGCAGTAAATGTAGCGTTTTCTTACTTCTTACAAACCATTTCAGTAATTCGCCACTCTGAGTAAGAATTACTCCAACAATGAAATAGAGTGCTTTAGAAACACAGCTGAAAATGATGAAAAATGACCAACTGTAGTACTTCGCCATGTGCATATGATCGGCTGTAAATGACACGTGGATCTTCCGACTGACGCCAAATTGGATACGTATGACCTTTGTTGACCTCTAAAGAACAACAGCATTGAAATATATTTTTGGCTCCACTGCGCGTCCTACATTAATCCGCCAGCTATATTTCCTCGCTAAACCAATGAATCTGCACCACATTTTTTTGCATCGTCAAGGAGCGCCTCCGAACGCATCAGTGCGTACCGCCTGGTGGACGGGCGCGGAAACTGCGCAACAACTTCTGTGTTAGCACGTGGCCAGCGTTGATGGAAACTGAGCAACAGCTTCCGCGGAGCTGAAAACTGCGTGAGAGCTTCTGTGGTGGCTGACGTGAGGCGACGGTTGCTAGTACCCCGCGTGGCAATAGGCCGGAGCGGCGCTTGGCTGCGAGGGCCGTTCGAGGCTGCTTGCAGCTTTAATTGTGGATATAATTGCATTTATTTCTGGATATAACTGAAAAACCATCTAGTTAACTAGCAGACTGGTAATTTACTGGTCCTGTTCATTTCAATACAAAAAGGGTCAGGTGACTAGTTGTCTTCAGCCAACTGGCTGGAGCCAGGAGAACCTGAAATTGACTCCATACTGGTCTGGTAGGAGACTGATGGTCCATAATATTTCACCCTCCATCTCTTTACATAGACACACAACTCATTAATCTTTTCATCCAACATGAATTACGCTTGGACATTTTTCTCTTAAATATCTGAACAAGCGCACCATGGACTTTTAAATGTCTGTGCTGACCAGCGGGGAAAGTGAAGGACTCTTTGTGCACAACTATATTGAAGATCTACTGCAGTACTGTGTATATATTGTATTTTCTTTGTATGTTCTGTCTTGTAATATTTACTTAATTTTTCCCTTTAAAATACATAGTATTGACAGCAGTTATTATTTTTAATTACTGACAACAGCTCCAGTAGATGAATTTAGTCTTCCGATCCCAGATGCTTCTAGTCCTTTACTACATTAAATACTGCTACACACAGAACAGTCATCATGTCACTTCCTGCCACTGAAGGTTGTTTATGACAGATGTAAAGAAGTGACGGACGATTAATATTTCAGGAGCTTTTACTTTGAAGGTTGTGCATTTGGGGAGCATCTGTGGATACTTTTGAGGGGAACTCCAACAAACCACTTCAGTCTCTTTTCTCCATCTTCTTCACCCTTCATGGCTTTTCAACAGCTGACATTTCAATTTGTTTTGTGTTTCATGCAGTCTGCCTCACAGCTATTTCATGTAATTTCTTTTTTATTTTCCTCATCCCAACCCTCACACTCTCCCCACTCGTTTATTACTTCATTTTTTGCCAACTTTTCCTGTAATATTCTCTTTTGCTTATTCTTTGTGAATGTCATTCTCACACAGGTTTTTTTTCTCAGGAATCATGAGTGGAAACTTAATTTTTATCTTTAACTCTGGTGTTTGTCTTTTAATGCAGTTTTTCCCCGGTGCCTCCTCTTTGCTACACCACTCCTTAATGTCTTAACCTTTCTCTGGTCTCCATTCTTGTCTTCCTTTTGCTCTCCTTTATTCCCCTCTTCTTCAATAACCTTCAGATGTCAGCTGCTCCAGGCATGTGAAGACCAGAAATGGCTGAGATTTGGGCTGGAAAGGATTTCTCTGTTTTTCTTGCTTTTAAAGCTGATCAAGTTCCACTTAAATATGAACTCTTTGCCTGAATCTTTCACCTGAGGCTCTGAACATTTGTTAATTGTTTTCAGATAAAATGTAATAACCCAAAATGCTGTCATTTTAAATTGTGCTTTGCAAAGGTATTGACACCCTATACATTTTATCATTTTGTCACATTGCAATTCAAAACTATTTTGATGCGATTTTATGTGATAAAGAAATGCTAATGAGTGTATAATAGTACAGTGAAAGAAAATTTTGAGATAATTTTGACTTAAATAAAAATCTGAAATGCGTTGTGCCCACTTAGTTTGATAACGTTGAATAAAAATCATTAATGAGCAAATAACACCAGACTGGGTTAGGATAAAGCAGATTAAGATTAAAACAAAATCCCAAAAATAACACTTTTCATTTCATCTGAAAATTAGCTCAAACATGTCAGTTAACTTAATTTGGAAACATGGATACAGTGTAACACCACACAATCAAAACCTGATGGGCTATGCTAATGTAGCTTATATGCCTGATGCTAATTCAAATTTATATCCAATTCTTTCATCTCCAGTCTGAAAGTAGTTTAGTTCATTGATGTGAGATATGAATCATAATTGTGTACCAAAAGAAGCCAGTCACTGTAAATTAGGATGAAAATTATTTGAAATGATGAAACGTGTTCATGTCAATGCTGAAACGGCAGGAGTCATGCGATTCTTTTTGTACCTGTTGGATAAATTGTGATGTTATTAGTCAAATATTTGTTATTTTCATGTATCTTTATAGTGTATCTTTTCTTATATGCTTTTATTGTTTAATTTCATCTTTGAATTAAGAATGTTTTTGTATTGTTGAATTACTCTGATTCCTTTCTCAGAAGGCCTCACTGAAGGAAAGCGGTAATAGCAGCTTTCTGCAGGGTTATCTCTCAGCGGGAAGCAAGGCCTCTTTGACCTGCTAGATTGCTATAAAGCTGACCGTGAAGATGTACAACTTGCTCTGTTTAACCCTGTGTCTGGAACGAGATTATCAAGTGCAAGATACCTTGTGTTTTAGTTAGTGATTGTCATTGGCGCTGTAGCTGTGTGATGAAGTGTTTTTCCCTTCCCTTTAGAGCTACAGCGTTCTTTGTGATTAGGGATTCTGAAAACAATAAAAAGAGAGGAGCAGACAAATGTGCTTCAGAGCAGCAGGAGATTGTAACTGAAAGCACATCTCTGTCTGTTCTCGCGAGTAAGAAAGAATTTAACTCTTTTTAAATTCTCCAATGGTAAAGGCAGAAATCTCATCATATGAGAAGATTTAAAATCTCTCCAAAGGAATATAAATGATTTAGATGTGAGAAGCCAATCTGGAGCTTTGGCTTCAAATCAGCCAAACACCGACTACAACAAACAAACTCTACTGCAACTTTTACATCACCATCAATATTTTCATTCAGTTTCCAAAAATTCATAATTTGTCACCTTTGAAAGTGGTATTTATCACTATCCCTCTAGAATTTTTTTTTTTCCTCAGTTTTTGCGGTGCTATTTTTCCAGTAGACTGACAGGAAAGAGGGTGAGGAGAAGAGGGAAGACATGCAGTAATTGGTCGCTGGGACCGGGAGTCAATGTCCGCGTCGAGGACTGAGGCCTCCAAACGTGGGCCGTGCTAACCACCTGCGCCACCACTGCACACCCCATCCCTCTAGAATTTTTAAGAGTTTTTGATTTATTCTTTCAGTATGACACCGATTAAAAGGTTAAAGAAATAAACAGTCCCTGCACTAAAGATAAAATGAAAAAACTGAAAACAAAATAAAATTGGGAAATCAAAGGTGGCAAACCAAACACCAGGCGACATGGGGAGTATGGGGAGGCGGGGCTATTAGCATGCTACTTGTTTACCACCATCAGATTTAAGTGACAAGTTGTCAACTTAGCTAAGTCTTCAATGATTTGCTTCTGCAAAAATGGCAACAACTAAACAAGGTCAGGAAAAAGTTTTATGAAAAAATAGTGATGGAGAAGGAAGTGAGTCAGTTATGCCAGCTTGACTTTGACAACAGTAACATGTAGATGTGCTTCAGAATTTGGTGTTTCAGAGCAGTAAAAATGTAATTAATCAACCCTCCCTGTGTTCAGATGATCAGCTATTAAAAATCACAAAAAACATGAAATAGTAACAGATTCTGTTCTTTGTGTTTGCATGGTTTATGGTTGAAACATGATAGCTGAGTTATCAGTCACTATGGCAATGCTTCGTGCATAATGTAGCTGACACACAGAGAGAAAAAAAAGAATTAGAAGTGCTTTTGAGTTGTTCAATAGTTTTTCTCTCTGCTGTGACACTCTGACCTGAATGAATTACAACTTCATTTCTAGGTTTTGTTTTGTTAACTGATTTGTTCTAGTGCAGTTGAGGACACAGATGACAAGGAAAATAATCGCATTTTTGCCCTCCAGTGTTTTGCACACGCAAAATTTCCAGATGTTAACAATAAGATTTTATCCATTGCAATGTGTCTGCCATTTATAAAAGCTGTCCTCTTTTTTTTTTCTAAAATAATATTTTATGGCAAAAGGGTAAATTTATTTTAACAAGGGGAATTTGAACTGCCCTGTACTTCATTGAAAAAACTAAATGATAAAAAAAATAAAACAGAGGAACAATGAAGAAACTTTTATTCTCTGAGGAATAATGAAGCACAAAAAGTACTACAAAAGCACTCAGTTACAGTTGATGAACACAGCATTCATCCATTGCTTACCAACAAGGTAGCGGGCCCTCAGTTTTAGCTTGGATCAACAGGTTAAGACGCAGTAGAGGAAGGTAATTATTACAAGCACTTACTGTCGTGGTCTCTGATGGAGAAGTTGGAGCTGGGACGAGCAAGACTGAAAGTGAAGTGAGCTGCTTGATCGTCTTTGTCCGAAGCTCCCAAGATACCGATCACCTACAAACAGGAAACAAGTAACACACAGACTATAGCAAATTATGTCATACAATACACCATGAAATTGAGTTCAATGCAAATGTCTGTTTTCTTAAAAGCTGAATCTGAAAGTAACCAAAAGGTATTTCAAATGTTCTCCTCTCACCGTGTTTCTGACGTCGTTTTCACACACAAAGATATCGTTGGCAGTCAGTTCAGGTGGATTGTCATTGATGTCCAGAACCTTTACAAAAACCTCAGCAAATGATGCCAGGCCTACAGAGGAGAGACATTTCATAAATATCTGGATGTTTTTGTAATTTTATGTCGGCAGTCTATCCATAAGCTGCATTTCTGTAAATGAAGAAAAAAATATTGCTCAGTTTTCTTCTGGTTTTGGCTTTCCCATAATTTCTGTGTTGTTTTTCTTAACAGTGGGTTTCAGGAGAGTCAGCACACTGAGTAAACTCAGCTTCCTACTGACATGATGCCTCAACTTGTCACCACATTTACAGAAAGTTTATATTTTTAGTATGCAATAGATGATGTCACTCAGGCCAAATCTAGCAAAAGTAAAGCGAGACACTGCATTTGCTTAACCGCTTTGCTTTGCTAACCTAGCTAGCTTAACGGCTAATTGTAGAGTGAAAAGGGATTTAACACGAGTTGGAACAATGTGTCAACTTCAAGCAAAGTTTGATCAATAAAACACAAATGCAGATGAAGGTGAGACATTTGCTAGTGAAACCACTGATGTAGAAATACTTTGGCCTTTTTGCAACATTAGGATACATAACAATACAGCAGTTTTTGGATGTTATGTGCTCTACCATTTCGGCTTCATGTCTTGGTTTCAGTGATACTGCTGCTTGTGTTACACTAGTTTACATAGCAAGCAGACAATGGAAACAGACACTGTCTGTTAAAACATTGTTTGTTAAAGCGACCCGTTCTGCACCATCCTAGGCCTGGTTCAGAGAGACACCTGCAGACACAACACTGTCCAACACCGGAGGATAGAAAATGAGACGACTTGCCACAAACACAAGACACACTTGTGCATCACGGCTGTTGTGGTACAGCATTTTGGTTTAGCTTCTCGCGTAAATATTTTTGTACATTTGAAATGAGACAAAACTAATGTGCAAGTGACTTTTTAAGCAAGTTATAGGAGCTTGTTTTAAGTCAACTGATCTGCAACAATGATGGGGAATTGTTGACTTACTATATTTACATTTCACTTATAAATGAAATGTAAATATTTATGTAAATAAATATCTACTGGCAGATTATTTCACTTACATCAAGTTTTCTCATAAGTGTCAGTAGAGATGCCAGTAAAGATGTACATTTTCATCCATTTTGAGGAATTATTGACTTAAAAGAATTTCCAATTCTTGGTAAAGAATTACTTATGAGCAGTGATGGCATACTTTAATCGGATTACCGATTAGTCCTTGAAAAAGTTAGATTAGTGACTACTTGATTGGAAAGTAACTAAGTTACATTAAAAGTAACATTTTTAGTTACTCTCAGCAGCTGCTAACACCACCAAATTTACTTAATTGCAAACTATTTTATGTTAGTAATAATAATGTATTTCCACTTTTATGGTTGAACTGAAAGGGGCACTGTTTAATAGTTACAGCAGTACAAAAAGAAAAACATTAATAATTTGTGTGTGTGTTATACTATTGTCTGAGAAACTCTAAGAATTTTAAAGTCCCCATCCTTCCCCCCCAGATTCCAGGTTGTGTGTTACGGCCCTGTGTTTGGTGACAGAGTGCAGCGCACAGTACTCCTCCTGTGGCTCCACAATTCTGCATAGATTTGTGACATTAATCTTAATATTAATGATTATAATGACATTTAGTTGCACAACTTTATGGACTTGTGAATTTGTGGCTGTTTTCTATGGACGAGATTTAGGGCCACTGGGAAAAAAAAAAAAAGTTCTGAGATTAAAGTCAGAATTCTGAGATTAAAGTCAGAATTCATAGCGTACTGAAGCTCAGTGACCGATGCTGAACCACTCTGAAGAGACAATAGTGGCCACTGCTTGGTAGTCTCTTCATAACAAGGCAGAACTTCTGGGCGACACTTTGAGTCTGTAATCATTCTAGCACTTCCATATAGAAGTGTGTTTCATTAAGGAAACATCTGCTACACGTTGCATCTGCAATCTATTAAATTAAGGTAGTTAGGAAGCCTCAGAACGTCTAAGCAGAGACGGTCATACTGTTCACACTGGCTAAGAAAGGTTTTACTCTAAAAATGGCACAAATTGTGGATTGTTTGATTAGAGCTACAGTGAAGTCAGATTATTGTGAAAATGGTCATTTTAATGGTGACATCAAAGAGTATAGAAATCCAGGCAGCACAGGTGAAGGATGAGGCTAGGAACTCACTGCAGTGAACTCCACTGCAATGTGACAGTGGAGTTCACTGCAGTGGAGCAGTGGAGGAACGCAGAGCCATGACACAACTGGAAAGACAAAAGACATAAGACAAGGATGGAACAGAGAGGAGGGGACACAGGTGAAGTTAAATACACAGGGAGATAATCAGGGGAAACAACTGAAAACAATCAAGGCGTTGAAGCGACAACACAGAGACCCACTTAACTGAAAAAATACACACAAAATCCAAATTCTCCTAAAAAAATCAACACATTGTAACGTTTATTCAGTGAAAAGTAGCTAGAATAGCATCAAGTGTCAGTGATGATGTGGTTTCATTGAACATGCATGACACCTGATGGAAGTGCAATACCAAGAGTTCCAATCAGTGTTCTCAGGCTCTTAGACAAAACAATCACATTTCAAATCATACACTCATTATATTTTCCTTTTGCTATTTACAAACTACTTAAAATATCTTCAATGGAAGCTACTGAGTATTACATTATTGAACACTCAGCTAAAAAATTGTCACAAAAACAGCCTCTACATTTCCACCAAGTTCCCAAATATATTAGAATTTTTCTGCTCATAAATATTAGATTTTGTGTTTTAGGCTTAGAGTCCTGATCAGACTACTATTTTCTTTAGCAGTGGTTATAATTAGATATGAGCAATATGCTTCTGTGACGGATTTGATTAAGGTCAAGTGACAGAAAAGTTTTCTTTTTGCGCCCTCCGTGTTTGACAGGTAGTTTTTATTAAAGTGCCTCTTATGATGCATTCAGCATCAACTTCTTTTGATTTGCTTCTTTGCTGATAGTTCTCTTTGCTCTCTCTGATTTTAAAAATATCTCCGGCACAAGAAAAAGTTTTATATATGGAGGACCTAGTCAAAGCTCAGGGGACCGTTGTGCTCACTAAACATTGTGACAAGCAGCTAAAATAAATCTCTGGATTTCATTCACTTGCTCATCTAAAAGTACAGAAAGCTGAGTGAACAAGAGAACTTCCTAAGGTGATTTTCCTGCTTAGTCTCCGATTCCAGAGCGCTGGAAGCAGGTGTTAAAGCAATCTGTGATAAAAACCCTGTTAATGTGTCACAATCCGACTGAAACGAACATACTGTCCACTTTAAGCCCTTCTTCTGTAACACTTTCAAATGAAAATTGTTCACAAAAATACATACATGTTCTCATCTTTATTTTGTGAAGACGTGTTGGTTCAGTGTTGATGTGTGACGTACCGCCATTCTCCTCTTCCGCCTTAACCTTAAACATGTGCTGCTCCTCCACCTCTCTGTCCAGCCTGCTCAGAACCGACAGCTGACCAGAGGTCGGGTCAATCCTAAAGGGTAAGCCCATTTCCAGAATGGAGTATCTGAAAACAACGAGAGTTAGTGATCAGCAGGACGAGCCTCTGCACAGCACAGCAGGACCACAGCTGGACCACAGCTGGACCACAGCTGGACCACAGCTGGACCACAGCTGGACAACAGCTGGACAACAGCTGGAAGGGGAACTGTACTTTATGCGATTCCTGATTCCGTCCGGGTCTCTGGCTTGGATTCTCCCTAATATTGTTTTTTCCATCTGCTCCTCTGGAACACTGAAGTTATAGACGGAGAGAGTGAAAACCGGCGGCTCGTCCACATCCGTCACCTTGATGGTCACCTGCAGCATAGTACAGAAGAGAAATGCCTTGATTTGGACATGATCTAAATAGTCTACTTCACTTTCTCCTCTGCTGCCCTTTTAGTTGGACAGTCTATTTATTTGATGATTTTACATTCTGAATTCCTTCAAAACATCTCAGTTCAAACCTTTCTAAACTTAAATATTTTGACTTTATGGGACTATTTGTGACCCTCTTTCCAGTGCTCACATATTAAACTTTCATTTGTTTTTTGCTTTGGGGTTAAGTGTGATTTTCCTTTTCTCATAAAAAATGTTCCCAAAATTTGAAGTCATCTTTGTTTCTTTTGGCATTTAAACTTGATCATGTTTAATAATCAGGAAAAATAAGTGAAACACTTTAAGCCCTTTTGCTTTTGAATGAGGGTGGATTCGATAATGATGCAGTAATCCTGTATTGTGCAAAAATCTTCATTTGACATTTGCTTCAAAATGAGAGGAAATTTAGATTTGGTTTAAGACTTTTGCACAGAAATATCTGCATCTAATTTTGTCTTCTGGGGTTTTTGTGGCTGTACTTTATTTGCAAACAGTATCAATGTGTCTTCATTTCTAAAACAAGGTGTTTGTGTTTTTTTGTTGACTATTAACAAAATACAGAAATAATGTTAGTGAGCTCCAATCTCTAAATCAGAAATGTAGAACTTCCCATTTACTTCCAGCTCTGCTTATGCTAGTCGATGAGGGACTTACCTGTGCTGTTGTATTTGCAACATTAAGATTTTCTGCTGGAGCAAATTCCAGCCGTTCCTCCACCCTAACAGTGAAAGTGTAGTTGTTCTGCGTCTCGTAGTCTAAAGCCTGCGGAGAGGAGTGGAGGTGAGTGAGCCACTGCTTTTTCCAACCTCCTGACATCATGTCATTTGCACATTTGAAGCCAATCTGCTCTAAAGCTGGATTTATCCTCCAGAGAGCATGTGGAGTGTTCTTGTTTTTGCACCTTTGAACGGGAACTGCTGAGAACTTCAGGCGTGAAAAGGTTGTAAACGTAAAACAACCCAGGAGACTCAATCATTTATAAAAGTTCAGCTAAAGCGTTTTCAAATATTCTGGTGGATTCCTCTTCCAGAATCAGAATTGTAGTAGAAGTCAACAGAACAAACATGTTTCCCATAACTTTCAGCATCTTTTTCATTTATGAGACAATGTTCTCAGCAGAAATTGAAAATAGAATTTGAAACAAACACTGACATCATTCTGCAATGTTGGGTCACATTTTTGGAATTTTTTAGTTTACAGCTGAAAAGTTGCTTCACACTTAAATATTAAAAATATGTGTAAGACTTTTAATGTTAGGGTTAGAGTTACATCTGTAAGCATCTGTTTACATGTTAAATTACTACAATGGCCAAACAGATGTTTCATAAATGTCATTAGATAATATGTTAGATGACTTAATGTCTAGACACCTGCAGTGTTAGCCTTCTGCTGCTTAGCACAACCAACGTCTTCATGTTGAAATGGAGAAAAATGAAATATTTGTTTTGCATAATAATTAAGAGCAGTCTGGGCCTTTCAGTTGTTGAACTCCACTAAGCTAGTGATGCTATCAGCCTGGCAACACCTAGGAAAACTTTCCAGCTCTACCACTGAGCCATACAGCTGAGTCAGCCAATCAAAGAGCTGTGTTTATTTTTCTTGGTTTTGATTGGATGTTTCCACAAAAATGGAATTAAGGAAGACTGTAGTTAGCTTCTGCTAACATGGTTTCGACTGAGTGCATTGATTCATATTAAGGTACGTGATCTATTCATTTATTATTTTAGCTATCAATGTGGTGCCTAAAGCCCTGAAAATACTAGAGGCTCAACATCTGTAGACACTGTTCCAATCAGTGATGCTAGCTATGCTAACGGTGCTATTCACAAATATACATATTTAATGAATTTGGTCAATTCATTAAATATAATTGCAATGGAAATGATGTGCCAAAGGTTCATTATGACTTAAACATTTGAGTATTAAAGTTAATAAAAGTGAGCATGTGAGGAAGCAGTTAGCGTATACAACATGGACAATAAAATAAATACATTTGTGAACGTAAAATCATTCTAGAACAAAATATGTCAGTAACAGCAGATATGTAGGTCTAGATTAAAGACAGGTTGAGCATTTCTATTCTATATGAATTTTTTTAAGGTTGGACTTTTATTGTTTGTTTTCAACATGAAGCTTCAAAATTACTTTGTTTCATCATAGCATCAACTTTGAATCTGTCCAAGGTTGTTAAAAACACGGCTTGACTTCAAGCTTTGGTACTACACACTTTCTCTCATTTCCTAAAATGTTACATTTCCACCTCAATAGTAACAGCAACTTATTTGTCTTACTTGAAACATCAGAATCATTTTCCTTTGTTGTTCCCCCACAGGAATTTTGAACTTAAAAGATAAAAACCAACGTTGGCCTCCTTTGTGATCGTATTTCTAATCAGAGAAGTTTAATTCTGATTTTCATTTATCTTGAACAAGCTCTGCAATGAGAAGGCATTCTTATCCTGTTTATTTTCTTTCTGCTGCATTACAACAACAAATTTTCATCTGCAGATGGGACAACATAGGTAGATGGGAATATTCTGTTCAAAGGATCATCCACAGTCACAACACTGCTCAGTCGCAGGCTATCAAAAGGCATTAGCAAACAGCTTAGCAGGAATGAAGCCTTGGTGGCGGCGGTGTGGACAATAGCTTGGTTTATTTTTGAATGCAGAGGGTGAAGAAGATGAAGAGTGGCGCAGAGCTGAGAGGCGAGTGAACAGATCAGAGTGCAATTTGGTTCCAGGCCAGCATGGGAGCTAGTTATTACCCTGCTTATTTTACAATAGTCCATCTTCAACTCTCTGAAGCCCTAAATACTTTATCTTGACAAGTAAACCTCCAGAAATTCCTCCAGGGAAAAATAGAGAACATCCAACCAGAAAGAGGCGGCTCGAACTCTGTGTTGTGTATTACTGCAAAAAAATGTCTCGTGTTAGATGCAGGTTTGCATTTTACGCTGTTAGAAAATGGGTCAGATTTCTACAGAACTTGAGAGCAGGTATATACTTTTTGCCAATTCAGGTAATTTCTCAATGGGAAACTGAGAAATTACCATGCTAAAACTACAGGCAAACTACAAACTTAAAGCAGTGCAGAAAATCAAAGTCATCGTTCACAACTTCTTCTGTTTGCTGATTGCCACGTTTGAAATTCAACCACAGAAATCCACTTCAATGGGAGACTGAGCACTGAAGGGAGATGAGAATCTTTGCATAGTAAGGCAATGGTCAGGCTCATCCAGAACATTTCCAAATTAAAATTCCTCCCTAACCAAGAATATGAATGAATTGAAGCCTAAAGATTTAAAATCAGTTCCACCAACATTAACAGTCAACTAAAAACAAGACTGCTTTGAGACATTATCTCATCAATTTCTCCCCTCCAACCCTCCTACCTGTTTGAGCACCAGTATGCAGTCGTTATCCTTACTGGGTTCGGTGCTGAATACATTTCCAGTACCACTTGGAATAGAGAAGATGGGCTGCTTGTTCTCGTCCTCGTCTAAGTCTATTAACTCCAGCACGCCAATCTTCTCATTAACTTTAAGGTTTTCTGGGATACTTATTTCATATTTTCCTTATGACAGAAAGCAAACAAAAAAAATGACACATTACATATTATACATAGATATATATATAGAAATATATATACTGGCATTATTTATGTAGATATGGGAGCGTAATATGTATCTGTGAAGTTCTCAAAGCATATATATATATATATATGTTTGTTAAAGAGTTAGCTGACTGTTGCTTACTTTTGGTAAAAGATGCTATGTTGTCATTGGCGTCAGTGATGGTGATGGCCACTGAGGTGGTGGCAATGCAGCCAGACTCCCTTCCTTTCATGTCCTGAGCCCGGACCACCACCACATACTGACTCTTTGTCTCCCGATCCAGGCTGCTTACCTTGGAGGTGATCACACCTGCCGAGACACAGGCGAGGTGTTATCTTTGATGTCAGTTCTGACTCATGTTCAAGCACAAATAGTCTTACAGCTTTTCAAAAAAATAATTGGATGGAGAAAATGTTATAGTGCTGCAGGGTGCCTACCTGTTTCATAGTTGATTTCAAATAAACCAGAAGTCTGGCCATTGGGGAGAGTGTACCTGACCTGTCCATTGTCTGTATTTGGGTCGTCTGCGTCAATTGCCTTCACTTGAACCACTGTATCCCCTGGAGGAGAGGAAGTATAGTGATTTACATAATAGTGCAACAAATAATTGAATATTTCAGCAAAATCTTTCACATGCAGGTATATACAAGAACCAAACTCGGCCCACACGTTAGGGTCTCCAAAAAAGAAAACCCAAAAAACAATAGCTACTGAAAAATTCAAGATGGTCGCTGTAAAAGAAAATGTATTTTTGTTCAGGATTTGCAAATATTTATCAAAAATAAATATTTTCAGTTTCATATCATATTTAATTTAAAATATTATATCTACTGGCCATTGTTAAGAAAAAATTGTTTTTGCACTAACATTGGAAATTAAATTCATGTGTTTGGCATCAAACCATAGCCTACATATGTTCAATCACAGTAGTCATACGTTTTTCCTCACTTTTCTGTTTCATTTTTCTGGTGGACATTTTACAAAATGGTCACCATGGTTGTAGAGGAGAACATATATTTGCACTAAAATTGGCTGTAGTCATTGCCAGTGGCATTCACAGCAAACCAAAAAGTTACATTCATTAACCACTAATTCACAAGACTAGAATCTCAACTCTGCTCATGCTAGATTGCTAGACATATATGAAATTAACATAAACTAATGATAAACTCCTAAACACATTTAAAGAAATGCAAGAAGTTGATGTTAAATGGCTAAATGCATTTTAAAAATAGCAAAACCTAACACAACTGCTAAACATAAAAGAGCTAGCGTAAGCTAACACTAAACACAAAAAAGTGATGGAAGCTAATTAAACTGCAAAACATATTTTAAAAATGAAAAGAAGATCACACTAACCATTAAAGATTGATATGTCTTTGCAGATGTGTTACTCTCATCTGCAAAGTCCTCAGATTCAGATTTGGTGTCTCATTTAGTAGTAAACTATTATTAATTTAAAATTCATGAATAGGATGAAGTTATTAAAATTGATGACATTATATGGCAATAATTGGTGTAAAAGGCTCAAAAAGGCAGACATGATGAAAATGGCTGACATGCTGAAATGTGGCTTATGGGACATATGGAAAACATAAAAGCTCAGAGGTGAGTATATCCACACATGAACAATCTTACAGTAATATGTTGCACTATAACTGACAGCAATCATTTTAATATATTTGGATTATTGGATTGTATTTGTATTCAGCTCCCTTCATTTTGATACTTGGCAATAAAAGCCATTGCAGCTCAAAACCATCAGAAATGACCTGCTGGGCCCTCGGCTACCAGGGACTGAACCACAAGCAGAATACAGACTGATGTAAAAACACAGCTCCAATGGAATTGCAAAATCATTGCTACAATTGCAACTTGCAAGTCTTAAAAGATTGGTGGAAGAGCATCCTGCTGTAGATTCTGGTTTGGATTTTGGTCTACACTTTGACTGGGCCAAATTATTCAAAGTTAGTCGAACACAGATCAGAATGCTAATGTGCAGTATACTTTTTTACATTTATATTTGTACATACATTAAAAAAAATCAAATTCCTGAGTTGCTTTTCTTAGACGTTGCAATCAAGGTCTGCCTTGTGTTGAAGTATCAAGTAAAATCCCCAAAAATTCCTCAAATAAGGGATGTTATTTTTTTAGGTTCTGACATGGGAAAGGTTTTCTGTATTGTCTGTATGAACTAAGTGAAGAATATTAAGTCAATCAGGCTAATGTCTATTCAAGATCTGTAAAACCAAATACATCATTGATCAAAGTGATTCATTTCTGTACTTCCTCAACATACTTGTTCTCTCCATGACAGATCCTTTGTACTCTTCTTGAAAAACTGGGCAGTTATCGTTGATATCGTTCACTTCGATATCAAATTCCCCAGCGTCCTCTATCAGCAGGCCGTTTCCATCGTACATCCTGGCCGTCAGATGATACAAGGCCTTCTTCTCTCTGTCCAGACGGTCCTTGACATACAGGTTTCCTTTGTTGTCCACAATAAAGGTTTGGTTCACTCCTTCACCTTCGATTGCAAACGTCCTCACTGCCACTTTTCGGTCTGACCGAAGCTATAAACAAACAAGAACAATAAATATACCAAGATAATTCTCAATATTCATTAAAACACTAGAACTCAATGCCCTAGATTGTTGTATAGCATAAGACAAAACAAAAACACAAATGTATCTGCTTTAAATAAGAAAACAGTGCACATAAACAAAAATGTAATCCCAAAAGTCATAAAAATCCTAGATTTATACCTGTGCTATCTTGTAAGGGATGGGTGCCTCTCTCTCTTCTGTCACAGAAATGGTATTCCATATCCAATCCCTCTTCTGTCTGACCAGCACCGGATGGGACTCTTTCTTCACAATGTCAACCGAGTCTCGTCTTTCTGGTACCGTCCCAGAAAGACCAGTGTCTGGAGCGATGATGACAAAGAATTGGAGCGCCAAGGTGAGAAGAAGTCCTGCTGTCTGCACCTGGAGCCACGCCATTGTCTAAAAACACATGAAGACAGGACCAGGAGCAGGGAGATCAGAGAATGAGGTGATGAAAAGAAAGGATGAGCGAAGGGAGAGGCAAGGCAGTAATGATGGATAGAGAGAGGAAAATAGAGAAGAGTGGAGATCAAATTAAAACCACTTATCAGCTGTGGACAGACACCTTGACTGTGCCTGAGCGAGAATTAAATGCAAGGCCAAGAACTCGTCATCCCATTATGGTCTATGGCTGAGTTTGAGGTCCAGCTATCATTTAGGTCCAGGGCTCTTAAATCTTTGCAGCCTGGGGCTCAAATGAAACATTTAGCCTCTCACCAAGGGAGCTGTACTGAAAGCATTTCGCCAGAGTGGTCATTTGGGGATCCATTAAACATAGGCCTGTGACCCAAATTAGGTCCTGACATGTTGACTGTAGTGAGAGAGAGACTGGCAGAAATGGAGAGATGACATTAAAAAACACTTTTGGCGCCTTTTTTTATCCGTGCCCCGCCAGGCTAAGCATTGCTCATTTAGCCAAGTTTTTCTTTCAATGTTTGCATTTTTTAAGACTTTGTAGTTGGTGTTCAGGTATTAATCGTCCAATCTTTCAGTAGCACATAATTATCAAGTGATACTTTCAGATTTCCTGTCAACTTTAAAAATTTTTAACTGAAAAATAGGACAGGCTGCTTGATGTATGACTGCCCTGGGATCCAACTACTGGGCATAGCAAGTTTTCTGGAGGAAACTTTGTAATTGATTTGTAATATGAGGGATTTGAGACTAATAGTTTAAATTTAAAAGATGGGTTATTTTGGTACATTGATTTGTTCTGATGTACAGGTAATAGTCGTTTGTGTTTTTAGCATAAGATTATTTGGGAGACTGTGTAATATCAGACACACAATCAGCCACATTCTGGCTGATTAACTCTGACTTTTTACTTGATGAAGGTCTATGTTGAGAATTCAATCTCAAAACATCACAAGTTTTAAAGAAGCTGAATTTTTATCATGATACTCTGGGTCTCAAATGTATAACTAAACTTCATCTTATAAGTTCTTCAAATGAATGTCAACCCATTAATTTAGACTCTTCCACTAGTCTGAGATGGCAAGGAGGGAAACTCAGACATGCTTCTGGACAATGATAGCATCCAGTTAATTTGGTTTTTTCCAAAAGCCAGGAGAGAAATCTACACATCCAGTGTGTTCTGGGTCCATGATGCATGTGCCCTATCAATACATGGGAGCAGTGAATAGTTCATGTGTATTGGGTTCAACACTGTGGAAACCACAGTTTTTAGCTGTGTCAGGGCAGGGTGCCTTACTTTTTTCCTGATGTTACCATCTCCTGATATAGTTATTTACATGTTTTTAGCAGCTTACTAGTGTTAAGTACTCAGTCAAATTGATTGTGTTTTTTTATACTGTTAAAACAAAAAGCAGATAGTAAAGACTGTGATGTAGAGATTGTGAAGACATCCAAAGTTCAACATTATAGCAAAAAGTCATGCCCTGACATATTGAAGAAAAAAAACTAACACAATGGCTCCTACATTATTATAGTTAAACATTTTAGACACCTTTGCAAATACATCTCATCACCATATTTAAAGGTTTTGTGATAACAGATGTTTTGGTAGACTGTAACACACTTAGAGGATTAGCAACTTTGATTAACCTGATTTATTCTGATTATTCTGATAACAAAATTAAATTATTAAATAATGATATTGAATTAATTTGAGTCCCTTTTGAGTTCATAGATTTTGACTGGTTGCAGGTGTCTTGCATCATTATTTTTCTGCCTCCAAGTTTTTTAGTTTAGTTAAACTTAAATAAATGTATACAAAATACCAGCAGTTGTGAGTGGAGTTGCTTTTTTGCAAGTGCTTATGTTACCATGTCTGTTTACGTCGTCGTTCTTGTGTCTACCCCCCCACCCCAATGGGCTCTATCTAATAAAGCAGAAATGCCAGGGAAATAATCTTCAAAACACTTTAGCCTTTCTGCTCTGAACTGCAGTTGATTTGTGGGCGCAGCCCCGTGCCATCCCAGTGGACGGATTAGAGCATCTTATTGTCTCGCAGATATTAGCAGAAGGGAGGGAGAAAGAGAGATTATGGTGAAGGGATTATTCTGGAACAGTTCTTCCCCCTCTAATGGTCTAATCTGGTATTCTGCTGACCTCCCCTCACCTCTTCACACAGCTCTGCAGAATTTAGCGCCAACAAAGACTCAACAGTGTTTCGTGGCCTTCGCCTGACTTCCTTTTATTTACTTTTTATGCTGTTTTTTTGTTTTGGGACTCCATTACTGGAATGGCATGGCATTGTCCTTTGTTGCACTTCACTACCAACCACAGAATATCCCGATTGATCCCGATTAGGTATTATAAGTGACTGATCAGGTTTGATTAAGGCCTCTGTGGCGGTGAAGGATAAGGTCAACATTAACATTAACAAAGTCAAACATGTTGAGCATGGCTAAAGCAGTTTTAGACTCAAGATTAGAATGATTCTTCAAAAAGTTATTTGACCTAGTTTACCTTTCCATCCTGGTCAAAAAGCTTCTTCTGCTTTACATTTGAACTTTTGAAGCCATTTGGAAAGAAACCAATGTGGATAAAAGGCAAACATCAGTGTTGTTGCTTCGAGAACTGAAGTCATTAATAGGTATTACATCGATTCCTTGGAGATTTCTAATAATTGACTGTTTTTTTTTAAATGAATCTAAGTAGTGTAATACATTTTTGTTCTGATTTGCTTAACTGATCATTTGTTGTTTATGGCTAACTTACAGCATCAACCATCTGACAATTTTCAGCTTCCGTTTACTGAGTCCTGAGGCCTTTTCTCTGCATGGCCATTTTTAAAAACATCACTTCCTTCTCTTTCAAGAGTTAGTGTCCGCTCCTCATCCATTATCAGCATTAGGAAGTGTAAACACTGTTCCTTCTGGGAAATACCACTGGCCTGGTCATTTCTCTATAATGACCAGGGTGTGTTAGTGAGCTAACACACCCTTCCTGCATTCAGAGCTCACGGTCTATTGCTTCACACTGGCTTTCACTACATGTGGTGATATGGACTCTTTCCACACTTTGATCTTTTGCTGTTATTAATGTGGTTTTTGTTCCAGGTTGGACACTTCTGTCAGTTGTCCCATAATTTCCAGCGTTAAACTTGTTTAATTTTTCAAATTGAAAGGTGTATTTTCTTGTTCACATCGTCTATTTCTGTCTTCTCTCAATCATTCCCTTTCTCACCTCTTCACGTCGCTCATTTAGCACCTTGTTCACACTCTCTGCTGCATCTTGAAAGCAGATTTACCGGGTCAGTGTAAGGAAGTTTCACCTCTACAAACTCTAAATTCCAGCCCACGTTAAAACTTTTACTGCCCATAAAAATTTGTAAATTCTCTGAGAAATACAAGAATTGTAAAAAGAAAACAGTTTAAATTTGACTTAATTTTTTACATTGTTAAACTGTGATGTACAAGCACAAAAAGTTAGTTATTTAAATCATTTTTAATCAAGGCATCTCTTAGAGATGCTTTGGAGAATCTAACAGCGCCCTGAAATATCTGTAACTGTACCTGTACGCCGTCTGCGTACACATTCTTTTTTTTTTTTTTAACAGTAGTAAGAACCACAAAAAATAGCAAATTTAAATGGTTGTTGAAATGCAACTGCAGTGGTCAAGTGTGAGACATTTCAATATCTGACCTGTGACTTCAGAATTTGATGTTAATAATTGTTAAAGAACACAGTACTTATATCAGTTGAAAAATTTCACTTAATGTTTGAGAAAGCATTTTTTTTAACACCACTAATTTTTTTTCCTGTTTGGGTTTATTTATGTGTTAGAGTGTGTGTTTTGTTGAGATTAGAACAGGTTGAATCACTTCTAACAATCTGTCTGCCAGTAAGTCATAGCAACACACAAACACAGACACTGCAAGTCAAATCAGGCTAATTTCGCTCTGTCCCGAAGGATGTCTGCCAACTCCAAAACCGACGCTAATTATGCCACCTCTGCTCATCCTCTAGTCCTCAAAAATCCATACCCTACAGCTTAAATCAATGCATTACAAGAAAAAGTGCTGTAAACAATTCTTAGCATTAAGCAGATGTTGAAACATGACCATTCAGTTGAATTTAAAGCTGTTCAAAGCCAACATCCCACATATGGAACCCTTCAAATTTCTTCAAAATTCTTCCCTTTTTTACTTTTGCTTTTTTACTTCAAACCTTACTGAGTCCTGCCTGTAGTAATGGAAGTGGAAACCAATTTGCAGAACAATAATTTTTATTTTTTTTTAAACAGGCCATAGTTCAGTGTGCTATGAAAAAAAGAAGGGGAAATGCAGGTCAGTCACTGAGAATAAACCTTAACTGGGTCTTTCAGCAGTAATCATTGACTTGAGCTGAACTAACAGCAGCTGGACAGCTTGTCAACCTCACTGACATATATCTGACTGAATGAACAGCTCTGATCATGAATCTCGGGTTTGTGTGCAAGTCGAGTGAGCGTGTGTGTGTGTGTGTGTGTGTGTGTGTGTGTGTGTGTATATGTGTGTGTGTGTATATGTGTGTGGTGTGTGTGTGTGTGTATGTGTGTGTGTATGTGTGTGTGTGTGTGTGTGGTGTGTGTGTGTGTGTGTGTGTGTGTGTATATGTGTGTGTGTGTATGTGTGTGTGTGTGTGTGTGTGTGTGTGTGTGTGTGTGTGTGTGTGTGTGTGTGTTTGTGTGTGAAGTCTCCCAGATGGCACCCAAAGGATTTTCCCTGATAGTTTGCTTTTCAGGAATTAAACCACCAGGTTTAGCTGGCATCGGCAGCTTTCCATGTAACAACTAAATCAAATCACTTTTGTCACCCTGCAGAGAAAATCCACCGCAGAGGAGTGAAGATTACCACAGACAAAAACAACAGCAAAAAAAGTGAGGTGGTCTGAAACCTGTGCTGAAATCTGTGTTGGATTTGTTATTTCCCCTTCCACTCTGCTAAGAAACCACAAAGCTAACAAATTAGGGCTCCACCGCATATCAGGGAGGGCTTCATCTGACAAAATGACACCACTCAAAAGACAAGATCGTCTCCAACTGTTAAATATTAGATGCATGTCATCAATACTTCATAGGTGAAGCCAACTTGAGCTCTCGACAGCCGCGACAAATCGGTTTCCTCGCAAAATGTAGGAACTCTTCAAAAGCGAGCAGCCAAGCACCCTCCTTGTGGATTTAGTGAAATTTCTTCCTTGTGTGTCTTCAAATCAGCCCGTATCATTTTAATGTGCCTCGGCCGTCCATCTCCAGGAATGACAGTCCACCCTGGGGATGGCACAATTATCGCATTCAAATCCACACTGAGCTGTCCGAGGCCATTGCCGTAACACGTGAGGAGTGACAGGTGCTGACAACCTGTCTGGAAAGGGGTTATCACTGTCAGCTCCAGTTATTTTTCTACCTTCTCTGAGACGTTTTTTTCCCCACTATTCATCAGCATTTCGCCCTGGAACATTTTCAAGGGATCTGGGTTACATTTTTCTGGCATTGCTGCAGTACACAGCTCTTAAGTTAGAAGTAAAATGTATATTCACAGACCCATATGCTGAACAGGGATGATCTTGGTTGGAACACTTCATCATGCGCACAGAGAACTCCTAATTTACCTTCAGATGGAATTGAGATGGAAAAAATTAACTCACCTGGTTTGACTCTTGTCTTGGTGAACCCCAAATCCTCTAGAGATTGCGTACTTGTTCGATGACGCTGAAAGTCTACTTTAACTCCAGGAAATTCAACACTTCCTGAGTCCTGCTACTATTTCTGTCCAGAAACAATTGTTTTCATCAATGTAGCTATTTCTTCCAAAGCTTATGACTGAACCTTTTCTGGGAATCAGAAAGCCTGAGGAAATCTCCTGAACAAGTATCCTAAAGATGGAATTCCAAGGACACTTTCAAAGTCTGATCCCAGAACATTTCAGAATTAGATTATTGAAGAACCTCGGCTTTTGCTAAGACTTTGGGCTTTATGCTTACAAAAGAAGAAAAAAAGTCCAAGTCATTCCAAGTGTGGAGTTTTATCACCAAAATGTCTTTCTTGTCTCTTTTTCGTCCTCAGATTATAGAGGGTTTTCCCCCTCAGGTGTGAATCCAACAGGTTCTCCGTCTCAGTTTTTTTTCCTTGCTCTTATTTTTCTCCCAGATATGGTTTTCTGATCCCAACATCCAAAAACTGTTGAGCCACAGCTGTTCGACTCCAGTTCCCTCTCGCACAGGTCACTGCCCACTTCCTTTTTCCTGTTTTTGTGGTAATGGTCTTCTCTGCCAATAATCTCTGCTACTGTTCCTTTTTTTGTATCCCGGGAGAAGCAGACTGGCTCCTCTGGTGAGGTATGGGGTCGATGGAAAGACAGCAAAAAGAAAGCAGCAGGAAGGCAGAGGGGGCGCGTATATGTCAGAAAGGCTCAAAGATGCAGATTGTGTAAGAGAGAAAGCAGCCAGCTCTTGCTCCAGAAGCAGACGGAGGGAGAGAGTGTGTGTATTTGAGGAGGGAGAGGAGAGACGGACAAGTGGAGAGGAAGGTGAGAGAGGCACTACTCTCCTTAGTCTATCTGAAAAAAACAGAGAAGTGGTGGGGATTTATGATTCATGTGTGTGAGATAAGGATTAAGTTAAACAGGTTATTGGGGATAATCCTCAGAGATTTCCCCACATGAGACTAGTCAATATTCCAGGGGGCTGACTTTGAGATAAGTGTGTGTGTGTGCGCGTATCTGACAAAGTGATCTTGTCTAAGCCTTGAAGTGAGATGAGCAGGACTTTTGCCAAACGCTAGGAGACAAACACTTTCCACCTCACCCTGACTCCCCTTTTGCTACCTTTGGGGTGCCTGTGTTTGTAATTTAGTGAATAGGAATGTGTATTTTCATATGAAACCTCTCCTCTGGCAACAACAGTCCAGTCTTTTCCCCTCCCTCCACTCTTTCCCATGTTTGCTTTTATTGTTTGCCATTTCAGCTCTGTTCCAACATCTCCAATTCTATCAATACAACCAATACGTGCAATAACATCTGGTAGTCATTGTGCCTCATGACATCCATCAACGATTTGTTTTGACTTTGTGTATGCAATTGTTCTCACAGCTTTCTGATTGAGTCCATTCCAATTCATAGTCAGCTCCAAATGTTGACAGTGTTTGGCATTTTTACACAAGCAAGCAACTCTTAATACTCTAAAATCAAAAACGTCTTGCATCAGAGACTAAAGATGAGGATTAACATGTGTATCCAAGTTAGTGTCATGAATTAGGTAGTTGTTGATGGTGAGGATGAGATGTGGTCAGACCCAGGTTAAGTGCAAAAATGATGGTTTTAATGGTCATTTTAAACGTTACCAAATCCAGGCAGCACAGGTGAGCAATGAGCAAGGCATCAAACGCTGGTATCACTGGAAACACACAGGACTGTAACACGACATACGACACATGATTAACAGCTGACAGAAAACAAGAGACACATGTGGGTTTAAATACACAGGGACTCATCAGGTAACGCGACAGATAGCTGGGAAATATCAGGGGCAGACGTGACAACATGGCGACTCGAAACACACACACAAAAATACACACACAAAAACCAAGTCCTAACAGTTAAGTGTCATTACAGTGTGGTGTTAGGACACAATTTGTTCCCAGGCATTTTGTTAGGTTTAAGGAAGATGCAAACAAGATAAGTTTAATAAACAAAAAACATAATTTTAGCTCCAACAAGGCAATTCTTAGCGTTGCAAAGAGTGATAAGCTGAAAAATGCTGCCGAATTTCAACATTCCATTGGGGCTGAGCTAGATTTCTTTTAGCGATAGTAAATCCTACCAATGGCTGGAAAAAGCTGGACTCAAGGACAGCACAGAGGCCCTCATCCTGGCCGCCCAGGAACAGGCCCTAAACACCAGAGCAATAGAGGCCCAGATCTACCACACCAGACAAGACCCAAGGTGTAGGTTGTGCAAGGAGGCCCCTGAGACAGTCCAGCACATCACAGCAGGGTGCAAGATACTGGCAGGGAAAGCGTACATTGAACGACATAACCAAGTGGCAGGCATAGTGTACAGAAACATCTGTGCAGAATATGGACTGGAAACCCCGAGATCAAAGTGGGAAACACCCCCAAAGGTGGTGGAGAACGCCAGAGCTAAGATCCTGTGGGACTTCCAGATCCAGACAGACAGAATGGTAATGGTGAACCAACCAGACATTGTCGTAGTGGATAAACAACAGAGGAAAGCCGTTGTGGTAGATGTAGCAATACCAAGTGATTGCAACATCAGGAAAAAGGAGAAACTGGAGAAATACCTATATAAGAAACTCACTGCTCTCCATGAGCGACTGGCAGCCCAAATGAACCAGCTGCTACAAAGTGGAACTCACCCTGAATGGTTAACTGAAGGGCGGACAATCCTAATCCAGAAGGATCCATCAAAGGGTCCAGTCCCACCCAACTACCGACCAATAACCTGCCTCTCCACAACCTGGAAGCTCATGTCAGGCATCATAGTGGCCAAGATAAGCAAACACATGGATAAACACATGAGCACGGCACAGAAGGGTATCGGTGTAAATACCAGAGGAGCCAAACACCAACTCCTCATAGACCGCACAGTTGCCCGAGACTGCAAAACCCGACACACCAACCTGTGCATGGCTTGGATCGATTACAAGAAAGCCTATGACTCAATGCCGCATACTTGGATCATTGAATGCCTAGAGATGTATAACATCAACAGGACTCTGAGAGCCTTCATTGCAAACTCGATGAAGCTGTCGAAAACCACCCTTGAAGCCAACTGCAAACCACTTGCACAAGTGTCCATCAAATGTGGCATATACCAAGGAGATGCTCTGTCCCCGTTACTGTTCTGCATAGGCCTGAACCCCCTCAGCCAAATTATCAACAAGACTGGCTACGGATACCGACTCAAAAATGGGCCAACATCAGTCACCTCCTCTACATGGATGACATCAAGCTGTATGCCAAGAGTGAGCGAGACATCGACTCACTGATCCACACCACCAGGATCTACAGCACGGACATTGGGATGTCATTCGGACTAGAGAAGTGTGGTCGGCTGATCACAAAGAGGAGGAAGGTGATCCGCACAGAAGGAGTCTCACTCCCACAAGGAACAATAGCAGACATAGAGGACAGTTACAAGTACCTAGGTATACCACAAGCAAATGGCAACCTCGATGAGGCCACAAGGAAAGGAGCCACAGCTAAATACCTCCAACGAATAAGGCAAGTCCTGAGAAGCCAGCTCAATGGCAAGAACAAAATCCATGTGATAAACAGCTATGCCCTGCCAGTAATCAGATACCCTGCTGGAATAATCAGCTGGCCAAAGGAGGAGATAAAAGCCACAGATATTAAGACTAGAAAGCTACTAACCATGCATGGAGGGTTCCATCCCAAATCCAGCACCCTGAGACTGTACACGAGCCGCAAGGACGGAGGCAGAGGACTAGTGAGTGTGAGAACCACTGTCCAGGACGAAACAACTAAGATCCATAAATACATCAGGGACAAAGCCTCAACAGACAATGTGCTCAGTGAATGTCTCAGACAACAGGGAACGGAGGTCGAGGTGCCAGAGATACCATCATGGGAGGACAAGTCCCTACATGGGATGTACCACCAGCAAATAACCCAAGTGGCTGATATCAGTAAATCCTACCAATGGCTGGAAAAAGCTGGACTCAAGGACAGCACAGAGGCCCTCATCCTGGCCACCCAGGAACAGGCCCTAAACACCAGAGCAATAGAGGCCCAGATCTACCACACCAGACAAGACCCAAGGTGTAGGTTGTGCAAGGAGGCCCCTGAGACAGTCCAGCACATCACAGCAGGGTGCAAGATACTGGCAGGGAAAGCATACATGGAGCGACATAACCAAGTGGCAGGCATAGTGTACAGAAACATCTGTGCAGAATATGGACTGGAAACCCCGAGATCAAAGTGGGAAACACCCCCAAAGGTGGTGGAGAACGCCAGAGCTAAGATCCTGTGGGACTTCCAGATCCAGACAGACAGAATGGTAATGGCGAACCAACCAGACATTGTCGTAGTGGATAAACATCAGAGGAAAGCCGTTGTGGTAGATGTAGCAATACCAAGTGATTGCAACATCAGGAAAAAGGAGCACGAGAAACTGGAGAAATACCAGGGCCTCAGGGAAGAACTGGAGAGGGCCTGGAAGGTGAAGACCATAGTGGTGCCTGTGGTCATCGGGGCCCTCGGGGCAGTAACCCCCAAACTGGAGCAGTGGCTACAACAGATCCCAGGAACAACATCAGACATCTCAGTCCAGAAATGTGCAGTCCTTGGCACAGCCAAGATACTGCGCAGAACCCTCAAGCTCCCAGGCCTCTGGTAGAGGACCCGAGCTCAGAGGATAAGAACCACCCGCGGTGGGTGAGAAGGGAATTTTTTTTTAATATATATATATATATATATATGTATAACCTTTCTATCATTTTCACCTTCTTAAGGTATTCAATCAATCAATCAAATTTTATTTGGATAGCACATTTCAGCAGCAAGGCATTTCAAAATGCTTTACATCATAAACACAAAACACAAACAATACATTGTTCCATCATTACATTTTTAATTGATTACGTTTCAAATACAATTCTAAACAGGTGTGTTTTTAGTCGAGATTTAAAGGAAGTCAGGGTTTCTGCTGTTTTACAGTTTTCTGAAAGTTTGTTCCAAATTTTTGGTACATAGATGCTGAAAGCTGCTTCTCTTCTCATGGTTCTGGTTCTGGGGATGCAGAGCAGAACCAGAACCAGAACCTGAGAGTCTGGAAGGTTGATACAACAACAGCAGATCTTTGATGTATTGTGGTGCTAAACCGTTCAGTGATTTATAAACTAACAACAGTATTTTAAAATCTATTCTTTGAGCTACAGGGAGCCAGTGGAGGGACTTTAAAACTGCTGTTTTGTCTCTATCTTCCTGGTTTTAGTGAGAACAGGAGCAGCAGCTTCTGGATCAGCTGCAGCTGGAGGATTGATTTGTTGGACAGGCCTGTGAAGACGCTGTTACAATAATCAATGTGACTGAAGATAAACGCATGGATGAGTTTCTCTAGATCTGGCTGAAGAACATCTAATCCTGGAGATGTTCTTCAGGTGATAGAAGGCCGACTTTGTTACTGTCTTTATGTGGCTCTGGAGGTTCAAGTCCGAGTCCATCACTACTCCCAGGTTTTGGGTCTGATCTCCAGGTTTTAGTTGTAATAACTGAAGCTGTGCATTGACTCTAGATCTATAGCTCTAGATCTATAGCTCTAGTTCTATAGCTCTAGATCGTTCCTTTTTAGGTCCAAAAATAATGACTTCAGTTTTGCTTTTGTTCAGCTGGAGAAAGTTTTGGCACATCCACACATTTATCTGTTTTAAACATTTATTCAGTGATTGGATTGGGTCAAAGGTCATCTGGTGACGTCGTAATGTAGAGTTGAGTATCATCTGCATAGTTATGGAAGCTAATATTATTTCCTGTTATAACCTGAGCTATTGGGAGAATATAAATATTGAATAAGAGGGGTCCTAGGATTGAACCTTGGGGTACCCCACATGTGACCTTTGACCTCTTTGATGAGAAGTTTCCAATTGAAAC